AAAAAGTCCATCAATATACTACAACCCTATTCACTTCTTATATGCAATTTTGTGATCTAAAATAGGTATCCCATGATTTCGTTAGTTATTTTATCCTAACCCTTCATGTTTGCAGATGATAGAACTTAATTAATGAGAAGGTGGATGTTTTAGCAGCTGTTTTCACACAAATCTAAACCAGCCCACAAGCCTCTAATTTTGACGCATGGTGTGGTGTGTATGTGCGTGTTGTGTGTGCATCTTGTGTTTATTGTTCAAGTCAAGAGAGGTGCGAGGGTCCTAATCGGACTCGCGGCTATTCAAGCCTTTTGTCACAGTACAGATGAGTCCAATTTCACTCAAAACTAGTGAAAATGTCTCGTGGACTCTTTCAACCAGAAGGCTGACGTATAATCCGACGACAACACAACAACCACGTGAATCAGTCGTCCTCTTTTGGTCAGATCGACCTTCATCAAACAGACATTACATTGCCTCAAAGGTACTGCAAAAACGTCCACCTAAAGGCTGCACGATGGTTCAATTGGGGCTCTGGTGAGAGTCTAACAAGGACAAATGGTTGCCATAGCAACACACATGCACACACATACGAAGTATGACCTTTGTTAGTGAGCAGGCAACGGGGGTTGATAAACTTATTGATCACTGCATTATTAAGGCTGTGATGAAGACACAATTAGCCTCGACTTATTTGAGGTGGAAGGGTTGAAATGCCTTCCAGACGAAATAGATCCTTTTGGTAGTGCCCATTACGAGAGAAGATCGGGCATGTAAACACCACAACGGGACGAGGGTCAGGATACCAATGATCATTTTGGTATAAACAGGCCTACTTTCCCCTTCTGCGATCCCATCCAGCTGCCAGTGTTAGCGCCGCAGGACCTCTGCAGCAATACACACCGACACATACAGATACATAAGCACACAGACAACCAAAGACAGATAAGCAAGTCTCACCCAACCCCACCCCCGGGCCAGATGAGTGGGTGATCTCGGTGCCGACGAGGGAGAGTCTGCCTGTCCAAAGATTGCTTGGCCTGGTCTGGCTGAGTGAGTGGGTGCGTGCTTGTGAATGGGAGGAAGTGGAAGAAGACGAAGAGGCAAAAGAATAAAAGAAGCAAACATTCAGCCCCCCATTCCGTTGGTACACGCGAGCAGAACTGTCGCCGTCCGACCCACCCCTCCTTCGGGGTTGAAGAAAGGACAAAAAGGTGTGTGAACCAGGTGGCCCATCTGACTGCCCCATAAAAGGCGTACAAGATGGAGGGTGAAAGTGAATTGTGGGGCTCCGAGAAGAAAGAAAGAAAGAGAGAGAGAGAGAGAGAGAGAGAGAGAGAGATTGAGTGAGTGTAGCATAGGCAACGTGGACAGTTGGAACAAGCTGAGAGGCAGGTTGAGCCCGATCGGGGCAATATTGGTGCGTGGTGAGGAGAGGTGAAGAGAGAGTGAAGCAACTAAACCGATGGTTTGGCTGAGTAGGCAGTCGGGGCCTAGCAACCAAGACGGACGAAGCAGGTGTTTCCGCGTCGGAGGGAAGAGAGTCGCCGAATTCGCCATCGAGTTGGAAGATATTAAAGTTTTGACAGTCCGACTTGTGCTATTTCCACTATTATAATGGAGTTAAAGTCAATAAATATGTAGCGAAATTTATTTCCTTCTTTCGCTTACAGCTGCTTGCCTTGGACGCAATTTTGCCTGTATTCATGGTTATCTGGATGCTTGTATGCCTGTCTACACAAACGCTTCCCCGTCTGTTCACACTCACTCACTCGCCTCGAGGAAGAGCAAGAGAGAGTGGGAAAGAGAGAGAGAGAAAGAATAGGACGGTATGCGTTATCATCCATTGTGTGGTCAGTCGGCTGATAAGCGGATGTATGCAAATTGGCTGTTGGCCGAAGCAGGGTTATCGGGAACTGCGGTGATCGGAGATTTGCCGGAAGGGAAACTGAGCAACATCCTGGGCCTTAGCGTCTGACTTCGTCTCTCTGACCAGCAGGTGGAGGCGAAGCAACTGATGATGTAGACCATTGGCCTCGGGTCTTCGTTCTCGAGTCTCGCTTCCAGGATGTCGCGTCTAAAGGCTTTTGGCCTCTATTTTTTGGTTCTCGGACCTTGAACCTCGAGCTTCGTGCCTAGAAATTTGGACCTCGGGTTCCGGGTCTCAAAGCATGACTTTTGAGTTTTGAGTATAGATCATATATCTTTGGATCGCGGATCCCATATCTCTGGTCTTGTGTCTTTAGTCTCGAGTATGGAATCTCGAGTCTCGGATCTTAAAGCTTGGCTCTTAAGTTTCGAATATTGGCGAGTAGATCGTGGAGTTCGTTTCTCAGAGCTGGAATCACAGGTTTCGGATCTCGGCTATTGCCTCATGAGCCTAAAGTCTCGGAGCTTAAGTCTCTGATCCATGAGCTCTAGTTTCGAATCTCAGGTTATTGTCCTCGAGTCTTGTATCTTGAGTCTCGAATCTAGAGTCTCAAGTCTGGAATCTGGAATCTGGGATCTAAGATTTCAGGTCTTAGAGCTTGGATATCAGGTTAGGGTCTCTTGAGTCTTGGATCGCGGATCTCGGCTCTCTGTTCTTGCGTTTCGAGTCCCTGGTTTTGCATTTTGGATCTCAGATCCCTGATTTCGAGCCTTATAGCTTGAAATATGGGTCTAGGGGTTTTGGGATTCAGGCCTTGGATATTAAGTTTCCAGTTACGGCTCTGGGCTTTATGATTTCGGGTCTTAGACCTCGGATTTTGGGTATCAGGCCTTTTATTTCGGATCTTGGATTTCAGATCTCAGGTCTCCGAGTTGGCCCTCGGATCTATAGGGCCTCGAGCCACGGCTATACAAGACGCCAGATCCGAATGAGGATCTTCTGGGCGTCCGATTGAAGAAGTGCAGAAGTGCTCGACGATCCCAACCCCTGGTAGATCTGCACTCGAAAGGTTGTGCTCTAAGCTTTGTTTGCAATCTCGCGAGCCCCCTCACGCTTGAGACTTGTGGCTAGGACGATTTGGCTTCTTGAGTAAAATAATAATGCAGAGAAAAGTTGTGTTTCAAATACTCTCTTGTTTCATAATTGCTGAGTTTACTTCTATTTCTAGTGAAAGTGTTTAGTGTTCTAATGTTGATCCCATCAAAAGATGACGGCTGATTCCGCTTGATCAACTGTCGATTGGCTTTACTGGAGCATTCTTATTGACGCTGTTTCCTAGGAAATCTTCTTCAAAACCGGTTAAAACGTGCTGAGCTTTCGTCCTTCGTATGACGAACATTATCAGAACAATGTATCATCCTTGAAGTCATTTTCAACCTTTCGAGTCAATGGTATATATATACACCATTTATGAATAGACTTGCAAGTTGTATTGACTCGTTAACTTGAATATAGTTGTAAGGATGAAACCCTGCTCTCATGATGTTCGTCATATGACGCATTTAAGTGTAATACGTTTTCACCAGAATCGAAGGAGACTGCCTCGGAAACAGCGTCAACAAGAATGTTGCAAGAATGAAGTTCAAGAGGAATCCGCTATTGTCTTCTGGTGGAGGTAATTAGGATCAAAATACCTTTTGGGATTCAGGACTATGGGAGATTCGGTGTAAACGCATGATCGTCTCATAGTGTTGTGAGAAAATTCACATTTAGCTAAGTGCTTCATATTCTTTTGCGACCTTTGGCGACTCAATAAGATTGCCGATCAAATATTCCGCTTTTTAACGCTGGAAATTATAATGAACTTTCACAAGGTGCGTTTATTGAGAGCCACGTTGCAAAGATGTTCATGGGTGCCAATTTTGCCCTCTTCACTTGGTACCACCGGAAGCCGAAGGATGTTTGCATTATATGAGATCTATTCACCCTATTTCGTGTAAGGTGATGAAGGACTGGTGGTAGAATTTTCCCACAATTATATGAGTTGAGCTGGCGTTTTCATTGAATTGCACATAGCTTTGCTTTCCCAAAAGTTGTCCACCCTGGTTGAGATCAACTTTTGGGAAAGCAAAGCTATGTGCAATTCAATGGAAATGCCAGCTCAACTCATATCATAGTGGGAAAATTCTACTATTAGTCCTTCATCACCTTAGACGAAATAGGGTGAATACATCTCATATTACTGATTTACTGGTAGTCTCGAAACTCTACTCTAATACGAAAATGTTTGCATTATGTCAAGAAGTCCCCGGCTCCCCGTTTAAAGGTTGTCGGGGTCACAGGACCGTTAGGCAGCGATTTGTTCACATATTCCTACAGTCTTCATTTGTCCAAACAAATTCTCATTCGGTTTCAGGAGCCACCAATTTGTAAAGCCTTTTCAGATAACTTTTCTTTTGAAATGGAAAGTCGAGTCACGCTATACACTGGTTTGCAAAACCACAATTTCAATCCTTCCGAGACCGGGACAACAGCGCGGGTTCTGCAAACACGTAGCATTGTCGGCCCAGCAGAATGTTGGGAACATCGGAATTTTGACAACCAGCCGAAAGATGACAGGTTAGCTTTGAGAGCCGAGTCTTGATATCTTGTTACCAGGCTAGTGAGATAAGGAGGTGAAGTTTAGACTGTCTCATTTAAAGACCGGTTGCGAAGTCGTCCCAGAAAGTGTGAAAATGCTCAACTGGACCGATTTATTATCATAAGCCTTGAAAAGTTGGACGTCCTTTTTCTCATTTGCTTTCTCTCTCTCTTTCTATCTCTCTCTCTCACTTTCCGTCCTTAAACCCAAACTCGTCCGTCCATCAGCTTTCCGGCTGTCAGTCTCTTCGTTTCTCTTTCAATTCATACGAGTTTGTGATTACCACGCAATAGATACGTGTTGCCAGGCCTGTGTGTACGTAGGCTTATGAATGTAATTTTATGTGTTTATATGGGTATTTATGCATATGCATTGGTATGTATGTATGTGTGCATTTGTGTGTGCACACTTGTATGTCTGCATAAAGTGGTTCTGATCACCTTCGACAATTGTATACGTTGTGTCAGCTCGTCACTTTGTTTCGTTTTCCTTATTTAATCATGCACACTCTTCTTTTAACCCTTCATTTAGTCTGGCCGCCATAATCCACATGTCCAGATTGCCAGCTGCTCAAAATGATGTTGCTAGGTTACTGAGAAAAAGCGATCTCCGATAGTGTATTCCGTTTGTTCTCCGGACGCCTTTGCATCAGATTGCAAATTTGGCCGTCTGAAAGATTTGCATTGCAGGCTCTTACATCAGGGCCTGTCTAGTTACCCCGCCAATGCTCCTCCCCCCTCTGGTCCAGCCAGTCAGTTGAACACCGGTTTCCCAGCCTTCGAGGCAGATGCCTTCCCCTCAAAGTCGTCCTGACGGCCGTCAAGTGGCGACTTGAAAAGACGAAGAGATAAATGTCTATCTCGAGTGCGTTCATCTCAACCGCCTCGGCCTGGCAACTGGGTCTCAGGCCTCTGAGACAGGTTGGCGTGTGCTGCTTATCTTATCACCAGAGCGTTTTGTCATCCGTTCCGAGTGGACAAACAAAAATCACGCCAACACGGCCAGAAGGATCCGGATCAAAGGCGAGAAACCGGGGTGGGGCCGCAATTACGGGCGCCTCTTCACGTCAGCCCGGCTCTGGAAGGCGGCCGTCTGCAAATCTGAGGTGACGAGGCGAGAGAGGGAAAGAGACGTCTTCTCGCAGAGTTGCTATGGCCTCGTATGCCACAGCATGAAGCACCGACGGGCCTGAGGTAGGCGAATCAGACGCCAGGCTCACAGGCCCTTTTGTCGGCCATGAGCCGAGCTTGTCAGTTGGGCTTAGATTTGGCGAACCTGTAGCTCAGTTGGTATTGCGTCACAAGGTACATGCGACGGGCTGGATACGATAGACCAGGATGGGTTGGAGGGGTGTCTTCTGAACCGAACACTGTCGCCCGATTTACGGTTCGGTCACGCCAGTCGCGGCAACTACCCCAAAGTGGACCGGGAAAAAAGAGGACTATGGTTGCCCAGGCTGGACAATACCAACAATGACCAATCGCATGTCAACTCACCTGCTTCTGAGCTGCGTCTGGCACCAGACGGCGGAGTTCCGTGAGGCTGTAGTTGATTCTGTCGCGTCTCCGCTTCTCGATAATCTGTAGGAGACAATAATGCATAAGGAATAGAAGAGTAACGGATGCATAGATGCTGATACGAAAATTCACTTTTTTGTTGCTTATAAGGTTGTCGAGACTACCAGAAGATCGTTTATATGAGACGTATGCACCCTATGTACTTTAAGGCGATAAGGGGACTGTTAATTTCGTATATATATGTGTTTTATTTGCGTTCAGATACTTTAGCGTTTATGTATATATTTATTGGTAATTGCATACTGAAGGATAGGCAAGTAAACGGACAGACATAATCCACAGTCCACTGTGGAGAAAGGGCATTTGGGGAAAGGTACAGGTTTATGCAGTGACAGTAGTTGTTCTGAGGACGGGAAAAACGATTTCTGGTTGCCATTTTTCTGAATATATTTTACGATTGGATGGAGGAGTTTCAGGTCAAAATGAGCAAGATACAGCGAGAAGTTAAAATAGAAGCAGAAATGTAAAGATGAAGGCTTCAGTTCGAAATGACGGGAAAAGGCGCGAAACCAGGCTCTAGGGCTAATAAAATTAAGCAACTTTACTTTTCCAAAAGGTCCAACAATCCATTCTGGAGGAGCATACCTTGTGGGAAAGCAAGGTTATGCGAAATGCAATGGTAACATCAACGTTATTCATATAATTGTGGGAAAATTCATCTACCTTATAACAATAAACGAAATTGAGTGAACATATGGTCATGTTATGTCCCTAAACATACATGGAAACCTTGCAGAATGTATCAAATCTTGCCTTAGCTGCGATGATAGCCATGCGAATTTCGAGAAAAAAATGCCGCCATACTGGCCTTAGCAATGACTAACGTCGCGTCAAAGTTGCAATGGTAAGCAGTTCTCTTGATAGGTTTTCCGTTCAAATATGGGGCACTGTATCCTAATCCCTTTACCCCCCTTTCTACATATAGCTATTTATTCATTATTTCCCCGATATAGTAAAGTTAATTGTTGAGCTTACTTCCATTCCAAGTGAAAGTGTTTGGAGAATCGAAGGTCGATCTTCACCAAATGTCAATTAGCTTTTCTCGAATAGTCTCGTTGACGTTGTCTCCGAGGTAATCTTTATCGATTCCGGTGAAAACGTGTTAATCTACCTCGGAATCAGCGTCAAAAAGAATTCTTTAGTAAGGCCAATTTACAACTGGCCAAGAGGAATCCGCCGTCGCCTTCTGGTGGAATCGACCTACGAACCTCTTCACCAAACACTTTCACTTGAAGTTAAACCATTATAAAACAATAGATGTCCCGAAACCCAACTTCCTTTCACATAGTACAGTTTACTAAAAGTGCATCAAGAAGATATTCTATAATCGATCTCGCCAGAAGAGTACGGAGGTTTCCTGATGTACTGCAGCCATTTGGCTTGAATAAGATGTTCGGTATGGTGCAGTCCACAAGACATCTTCATCCATTTTAGGTGAAGGCATGCTGAACTTTCATAATATATAAGAAGAGAAGTTGGGTTTCAAGGAATCTCTTGTTTCATAATTGTTGTGCTTAATTCAATTTCGAGTGAAATGGTTTGGCCATATGACGAACGAAAGCTTAGCATCTTTTCACCGGAATCGAAGGAGATTGCCTCGGAAACAGCGTCAGTCAATCGACAGCTGGTCAAGAGGAATCCAATGTCGTCTTCTGGTTGAATCGACCAAACACTTTCGCTCGAAATGGAAGTTAGCACAACAATGCTGAACTTTCGTCCATCATCCGATGGACATCATCTAAACTGAAACCCATTTTCGTAAAAGTCTCACGTTAGACCAGGTCAATTGCTTTAAACGTTGGCAAAATAATAATGATTTTGCCCCGTTTTCAGTACAAGTATGCCTCAAAGCTTTCAGCGATTCGTGAATAAAAAGTGTCATGAGATCTAACGATGCCCACGCCTCTGTTTCGAATACTTTTTGGGGTGAGCTGACGAGACGATTGAGATTAACTTCCATAAAAGATGAGAATTCTTTATTTCAGCATCGTCAGGTTACACTCTTATAAATGCGAAAATGGCTTCACTCTCAGTCCTCAATTCACATGAGATGATTCGGGTTGACTAGAGTTCTTAGCAAAAATATGTAGACCTTAATCGGAGTACAGGCGCAGGTAGTAATTCATTTTCCTCATGGCAAACTCAGTCAAATATTTTCTAAGAATTTAAGTCAGCCCAAGTCTCTTCAGGTGAGTTAAGCATTGATACCGAATGCTTTTTCACAATTATAAGAATGTGACCTGACAATGCCGAAATAAGATATTCACATCCTGCCCGGACTGTAGACTTGCCCGTACCATCAGCACCGTCTTGACGAATGGCAATGGGAGTTCGTCATTTTGGCTCCATTGAATTGGTCTGACTTCCTTGTCGTAACTTGGTCGTGTTGTGTAAGCGCTTTCTTGAAGTCAACTCGTACCGTAATTGTCATGGCCTCTTTCAACATCGGACCTTTGAGCGGCTGCATTTTCACATGTTCCGCCAGCAGCTTAGTAAAATATATCCCTTGCATGTTGTGATGGCTCTTCTGTTTGGGTACATTTACCTCTCCCGTCCTGTATCTCGCTCATTTTGCATCAACTATCACTGATGATACCGACTGAACTGGAGGCGAAACTTCTGAGAATGTGCTGAGTAATCGGTCCGTTGATGAATATGAGCAAGACTGTAGTGGAAGAAGACTCAGAACAGCATTCGTTCTTTACAGTCCCTATGAAGCCACGACCAAATAGTGAAGACGAGTTCAGAACGATTTTCCTTAAAAACAGTTGCGTAGCTCCTACGTTTCTCGCCATACATAACTCTCCCATC